GTCGTCATGCGGCCGGCAGACCTTGCCCCGGTCCTTTTCAGAGATGGCGACCTCAGGATATGTGCCATTAGACATCTGACCCTCTTCAACTAAGTTGACCGTCTTTTTGACATGCTCCTTGGTGCCTTTGATTGTTGGGCTGCCTGAAGCAAATCCGCCAGCTATTGTACAAATCATGTCCGGATCTGTGTCCGAACCGCTGTCAACTATGGCTGCCTTTTTGGACGGCTGCTTAGGGTCCGTCTTCAGAGTTACCTTGGACTTAAGGACATAGGATTTCAACAGTCCTTTTTCACCCAATTTGTCCAATAGACTCTTGAGACTATAGCAATCATTGGTGTCATGGCCTATATCCTCAAGGAAATGGCAATACTTGTTTGTCACAGTACTTAGTCGGATCTTTCATCGCCGAGGGCTTTCCAAAGCTCACCTGGTCTTTAATCTCCATGAGGATGGAGTAGCAAACTTTGATAAACTCGTACTTAGGGACGTGCGGCTTAACCTCTTTCTTTTTCCTCTTAAACGGCTGACTAGAATCGTCAACTGCGCAAATTTCTTTTCTCTTTTTACTCTCTTTATTTTTATAAGCCGGCTGATCTTGCCAACTCCCTTTCTGCTTGTTAGACCTCTTTGAGTCCGATTGCTTGCTGGAGGAGCAGAGCTCAGTTACTTGTACATAGGCTTCTGCCTCCCTCAGCGCCTCTTGAAGACTAAAGATTCTCTTCCGAACGAGCCCGTCTTTCAAACCCTTAAAGAAGTCAGTGAAAGCAACTTCATCAGACAATCCTAGAATCTGGATTCTCTCCAGATTGAACCGCTTGACATTAAATGGAGCTCCTCTCTGTCTCTTTGTTGAACCGCTCCTAAGTAGACACTTGTCTTCTTGGCAGGTATATTCATAGAGAAGTTAGAGGCGAATAAGAACGCAAGCATCCTAAAGTTATTTATGCACCCAGGCGGCAAGTTGCCGAACTACTGTTGGGCAATGCCCTTCAGTGTAGCTGGGAAGCATCTGCACCATGCAGCATCATCCAACCCCTATAGATACATGAGGTTGGTATATGTCGTTAGGTGGTCTTATTGGTTGGTGGTGCCATCATAGGCACCAGCCAAGACATTCTTAAACTTGGTCGGTTGTGCCGCCTCAATTATTTCCTTAGAGAACGCAATGGGTTGTTCTCCAAGATTGAACAGAAGGAGCTGCCAATCCAAGGGTTGGACTTGATATGCCGCCTATCCTCCATAGAAGGCAGGTTGTTGTAATGGTTGGGCAAACGACCCGTATGATTGGTGGAGCACATACGGCACCGAGCCTATCACATTGGGACCTGTGTGGACGGAATGTCCGCGTGACAGGTGCTCCTGTGCCGATTAGGAATACCTCAGTGAGGTTTTACTAAAGCTGTCTGGCATTGTCGGCGTTGATGCCGTGTCAAATAGCTGGTTGTTCCTCCTATGCTGGATGATTTACCGAGCATTAGTGTAGGTCTTCTAGCTGTCATTCGGACCTACGTGCTAGAGGGGATTTCTCATTGCCGTCTCTGGGAGACAGAATTTGGTCTAGTTAACTACGGGCCTGGCCCCCTCTTCAGCTTGGGATGCAGAGTGGGCTTCCTATCCTTGACCGGCTTGGCCTTCTCAAAGTGAGGAGGCTTCTTGGCCGACTGTCCCTTGCTTGGACCAATCGCTTGACTTGTGATTAAGTCTTTCATCTCGCCCTTGAAGTTTGTCATAAACTTCGTGAACTCTGCACGGGTGATGTGAGTAGTTCGCCTTCAGCCTGAGGCTTGCCGGCTGACTTGCTCGCACTCGCCTGATTGTCACCCCGTTCCTTGTTGTCTTTGGAACGGATGCGCCTTGTGATGAGGGAACCATCTGGGGCCATATATACTTCAGCCTCTAGTTCAGCCTCAGACTCGGTATCATGGTCCGAATGAACCTCTAGTTCTAGACATTTGTCCTTAGGAGGCGGTACAGGTTGCTGTGTAACCATCTTAGAGGTACTCTCTCCATAGGCGGCGCCAAATGTTTCAGGCTTTTCTAAGATGTCCTACGGTAGAGTTACATCACCAAGAATGGATCCTCGACATCTGTACTTGCAAACAAACAGAAGCTTTGGGTGTTCGGAGTTCCGCCTCCAACGCTCAAGTTAGTACCGGGCGAAGTGAATCAAATGCGTAAAGTAAAAGGTTTTCTTAGATCCCAAAATCTGGGGAATCACTATAGAGAGTAATTACTTTAATAAATGCGTGTGTAATTAAGAATTGAATGTGTCTCCCAAGGTAATAAATTTTCCTATTTATAGGGTATGGGAGTTAGTGCCCTTATCCTAGGTTATTTAACCTAGGTAATTGGGCTGCACCGTGTCAGCCGCTAATTGGTCCCATTAGGACAACTCTTGGGTTGACACGTGTCACCTTCTGATTGGTCCACGTGGCTAGGGTATTTTTACCCTAATCAACGAGGAACGAAAGATCTTGGCTTGTTTTATCAATCATGACAAGACGCCACCCTCATCGGATATACAAATGTTGGATATCTATCAGACCCACAAAATGTAAAGTCACAAGCTGGATATCTGTTCACCTATGGTGGAACTGCAATATCTTATTTGGAAATCAACAAAGCAAACTTTGACTGCAACATCATCAAATCATGCTGAGTTGATCACTATTTATGAAGCAGGACGCGAATGTGTATGGTTAAGGTCAACGATCGGCAATATCCAAGAAAAAATGTGGCATGAAAGGAGTACATGAAAATCCAACCATCATTTACGAAGATAATACTGCATACGTCGCTCAAATAATCAAATGGCACATTAAATGAGATAAGACTAAACACTTATCCTCGAAATTGTTCTTTACGCACTATATACACCTAAAAATGTCTCCCAAAAACCAAACACGATGATGAACAACCTTTCACCGCCATTATTAGTCGGGTTGAGTATTTAATCTTAGGAGTGCTTAAATCCATATTCAATCCAATACATTTCACAAACCAACCCAATTCTTAGCCCATTTCCCCAAACCATAACTTATTTTCCTTTTTTTGTGTCCACATCACAAAACTGAGCTAAACTGATTACATAGCCTGTAATTTTGATCCAAATATTATTTGGTTGGATAGGCCTTGAAATTAGGTTTCCAATGGTATATCATAAGCCCCTCCGATTTAAAACGAAGAAGATATGAGCCAAACACTAAAACTTGCCCCAAAACCGACACCCTTTCACTAAAACGGCCATATCTCCAAAAATACAAAATATTTTGACCTGATTTTAATTGAGTTGGAAATTATACTTGAAGATCTTTCCAACGATATATTATATGCCTTATTCCGATTTACGAATCAATAGTTATAAAAGTTTTAAAAACGCATTAAAACTGGAAATCACCGCGCCACGGTAAAAATACCGTGACATGGCAAACATATGGAGGTAGTAATCTCATGGATTGTGAATGGGGTGTAACCTTTATGGGTCAATCGTTGTTTCCTATCGTTGTCCCTTTATCGTGGTTGCCTTATAATGATTCGTGAACGCTTTACAAGTTCCTTAAAAACTTGTTGGCGGCTCCCTACTTTGCTTTGTCCCTAATCGTGTGTCAATTCCCACTTCCTATGAGTGCCAAGCATATTCACAACATGCTTACATAAGTGCGCTTCGAACGACGCCTACACACACGATATACAGAAGGAGGGAAGATAAATGTCCAACAAATTTAATCATGTGAAAATCTCGCAAACTTGTTTACAAAGTCCCTACCTTCAAGGAGTTTTGAGCGGTTAGTCCACAAGATTGGAATGCGTCGTCTTCGTGAGCCACGTTAAAATCAGGAGGAGTATTATATGCACTACGCTCTTTTTCCCTTCGATCAGGTTTTTATCCTATAGGGTTTATCCTGACATGGTTTTTAATGAGGCAGTACACTAAAGCATATAACAAAACATTATTGTGCTCCTCTTCCCTATCTATGATTTTTATCTTAGGGAATTTTACCTAGCAAGATTTTAATGAGACAACATTTACTCATTTTTATGTGGACATTCAAGGAAGAGTGTTATGAGGTAACAATTATATTAGGTGAATGCCACAAAAATTGACCATTGCCCATCACCATATAATGCAATGTAGAAAGTTTCTTGCCACCTAATTTCCATGGCTATGTAATAGTACACTAGTGCATAGTATGATACGAGCTTGTAATATTTTTTCTCTCAAACAATAAAAGCTTGCTCTCGTATCCTCTTATAACAAATCATTATTTAAAAAAAAAAAAAACTTATGCAATTTGTGTCGTGCAAGTCCTCCCTAGTCTCTCCTCCTCTCTTCTAGGGTTTCTCTAAATTTTTGGCCGTTTAGACTGAAAATAGTCTAATTTCTTCGAAAAGTAGACTATTTTTTTTTTACCCTTTTTCCTTAATTTTCTTTAGTTTTGCAATTTAGTTTTCAATAAATCTACACGAGTAGTGTAGATATTCGTCCGTCTTCCTATAGTGGAGTCGTTAGTTTTTGTTAGTTTTGTTGTTTGTTGTTTGTTGTTTGTTTAGGGGTTTTTTTTTTTGTGTTAGGGTTTATTAAAAAGGTAATCATCTTTTTCCCTATTATCAGTTCGTTGGTGAAGAGTTGTCCGGGATCGCAATGGTTGTCAAATCTTTAAAGACGTTCAAGTGAATCAGATGAAAATCATCCTTACGGCTACAACAAATCGTTAGACCGTCTCTCCGAAAAGGCTGTATATTCAAGCGATGTATGCGAGAGATGTACCACAGTGCAAGATCTATTTAACGATTGTAGTTTTGATGAAGGAAACTCTTACTTGATTCAATTTTATGTATTTGTTGATTTAAATATCATTTGTATATGTCGTGTGGCTTTTGATTAATAAATTGATTTGTTTTTTTTTTAAAAAAAAAAAAAAAAAAAAAAAAAAACAGTCCTCTCTAGTCCCCACACGGGCACACCTCGTACGCTATTTATTCATTCATTCCTCTCTAAAATCCCAACGTTAGTGAGTGTAACGCGGTCTTACGCGCAAAACCAAATTACATTTTCAATTAAAAATAAAATATAATAAATGTGAAAAAAAAATTCTGAATAAATTGAAGAAAGCCTCCCATTTTCAGCTCCAACCCCCACCAACCAATAACTATTTTTAAAAGCTAACACGCTTAAATATCATTTCTATTAAAATATCCCTTTTTTCTTAGCCGACAAATTCATAATCCAAGATCAACAACAAAGGTTCATTTCAATTTGATCTGGGTTTTTTTGCTAAATTTTTTATTTTCTGTATTGTCAAAGAAAGAATTATTCTTTTAAGGTAATTCTTCTTCTTCTTTTTTATTATTTTTATTTTAATTGTTGGTTTTGCAAATTATTCCTTGTTGAGTTGATGTAAATTATGACCTTTGTTCCCAATTTGAATTTTTGGTATTTTAAATTTTGATTGTAGAAGTTTTTAGGGGAATTAATTGAAGAATATGAAAATTTGAGCTGGGTAATTGACTAATTGCTGATTGTGGTATAAATTCAGATAAAATGGCGTCTAAATTAAGCAAATTGACTAATTTTGCTGTTTATGGCAAAAACTGAAGCTGAAATTGTTGGAAAATTATGAACTTTGTTTATTTTTTAATTTTAATTTTTTGAGGATTCTAAAATGTTAATCATTGCATTGGACTTTTTATATGATAATTCAAGATCAATTACTTTACAGGAGTTGAATTTGGAGGAAAAGTAATTCATTTTGTATTCTTATTTCATGCCTAGACTTTGGATTCTTTGTTTTTTTAGACATGATTACATAATTGGGCTATCAATTTAGCTAGATAGACGAATCAATTTAGAGATATGTAACAAAAAAAAAAAGGGGGGGGGGGTTCCTCAAATTCTTTTGGTACTTTTGATGGTGTTGTGAGAAGTGATCTGTTCTATTTTATGAGTATAATGGACATAATCAGACTTGATCACCTACTTAATTAATGTAATTTTCGATATTGTTTGATTACTTCTGCAGTAGTTGGCTGTTTGGTGGGAGGGATGGCTTGTTTTTGCATAACTATCCGCCTGTTTAGTAGGTTTTTGATAGTTGCTTTCATACCGCATTAAACACATTCCCTATAGCTTCCTTGGAGTTTTCTTATCCCAAAATGTAGCAAATTCTTTTCTATATTTGCTAAGAAATGCAAATGTGTAGTTTTTGTGGGTTTTTGTTTTTTGTTACATGAATGGCAGGAGAGAAACTTTCCGAAATGCGTCATAGCTTTAATAAGCGTGTGTGAGTGTTTCTAATCAACATTCAGAGCAAGTGTTCGCCTGTTGTTAATTTGTTTTTGTCACTTTTCGAGGCTTTTCCCTGCAGAAATTCATCTCAAGAACTTTTTTGTTAATTATATCAGGAAATTGGATGACTTGCATTTTCCGAATCTCTGTAACATGATTCTGTACTGAATTTTCCAAGCCCTTGTACTTAGTATATGTTTGCTCAACGGATACTGATATATATCCTATAATTTCCATCTTTTACAGGCCTCCATAATCTGTATTGTACTCCTCTGTCAAACTTACCTTTGTTTGCTGTGTTTTTGCCCTTCATTTGTGCTGATAATAATAGAAGAAATCAGACATCAAATGGTGACAAATGATATCCACAGTGAATGTTCTAGCTCAACTTCATGGAGTAGTCAGCCTGATACAGAGGATGATAGGATGATAGCGCTTATGCTAACTGAAGAATACTCTCAACTAGACGGTGCTGTTGCTCGACGTCTCACTAACCTTGCTCCTATTCCTGTAAGATAACAATTCTTTTCCCTTCACGATACTTGTAAGCCATATGGAGAAAGCTAGAAATTACATTTCGGTGTGCTCCTTAAGCATAAAGATGAAGTTATATTAATTGTTACAACCAAATTATAAAAAATATAAGTATTAGCTTGTAGTATCCTGGTATACCATTGATCCCCTGTTAAGATTTTCCATATCTTAAATTCTCTTCCCTTCCTTGCCAACGCTTTTTACCAATTAAGACTTGTACTAAGTTCTTCATTTTAACTACAGCTATATGTATGATGAATTTTAACTAGAAGTCATTGTCAATTTATTTTTTTTAAAAAATAGATATAAATTTTTATGCTCATGCTCAATGATCACCTAGTTGCATTGTGTTGATAACTTGATATATCATTATTGCTATCCTCGGTTGTGCTGTTGACTGATATTTCATAGTACTCTTGCTTCTTTGAGACAATTTCCAATTTGTTAGCATTTGTCATAGTATGCGGATCTGAATAATAAGGAAGCACTTTAAAGTTTTGGCTGAAAAATGGTGTTACATTCATCTTTTTCGCCATTTATCAGTTTATCTTTTCGAGGAAAATTCTGTATGTTTTATTTTGAGTAGTTATACAGATATTAGTTACGTGAATTCTACAAGTAAAAATAAGGCCTCAAGGTTTATTCCTCTACTATTTTTGCCTTTGTCATTGGGAAGAAATTGTTGTTCTGCTTACCCGTAAGCATGGTGGGGGTTGACTTTTTCCTACCTATAACTTTTTAGGTTTAGTGTGAGGATCCATAGCTCAGATGTAATAACAATTGGGTATTTCTTTTCTTATAATTCTTACTCTTATTGATAATTAAATGTGTGAAAGGAAGAGATGGTTGATGGGATGCAGGGAAGTAGAGATACTCCTTCTAACTGCTGATATCCCCTGTTAAAATTGTAGCATTTATTTTATTACAGAATACTTTCTATAGTTTACTGGCTATCCTTGGCTGCCCTGTTGACCAAAGGGTATGGAATGATGACAATATTGTAAAACTATTGCTTTTTTAGTCTTACTACAGAAGCTCATTTTATTTTATTTTATTAATTCCTTCTTTTTTTTTTTTTTTTTTTTTTTTTTGGTAGGTTATCCCAAGAATAAATTCCTTTATCCCTACCGTAAATGATGCCAATTTGGACCACCAACGGCTTCTCCAGAGGTTTGTCCCATGCTTAAGTAGGGTTGTTGGATTTAAACATTCACTTTCTGAGAGGTGTGAGGATTGCAATTTCTCTGTTTTCACTTTTCACATCTCTCAATACATGGTAAAGAGTGAGAAATAACAATTTGGCCTCTGATTTGTTGGCCATGTATTGCTGTTCATGCTATCTATTGGCTTCTAGTACCTTAACTGCTTCGGTGCTTTTCAGACTACAAGTTTATGGACTCTTTGAAGTCAAAGTCTCTGGTGATGGAAATTGTCAGGTGAATGGAACTGTACATAATATACAAATGTTGCTTTGTAACATGATATAGCAGTCATAATAATCTTTGTCTCACTGCAGTTTCGTGCACTCTCAGAGCAGATGTTCAAGTCTCCAGACTATCATAAGCTCGTACGCAAAGAAGTGGTCAAACAGGTAAATTCCGCGTATCTTCGTTAAAAGTTTTGTTCTCAAAAGAAGTGGGGTGAGAATAAAGTAGACAAGAGAAGGAGATAGAGTTTGAAATGCAGTTCATTAATTTCCACCTATAAAGTGCAGGTAGATATTTGTTTTGAGTTTACTGACAAGAGTGCTAAAGTAGAAGATAAGAGACCCATATTTCTCAACTGTCTTTTTTCTGTAAAATACACATGCCTATAATTTTCAATTGGCTTGAGAAGGGAGATCCACACTTGCTCTATAAGTCTCTGCTTTCAGTTTTCTACGTAAATTTTGGGATGAACGTCTAAACTGCCTTGAGAAGTCAAACATACACATGCTTTGGCTTGGGGTACATTTTTGGATGTGCCATTGATAATTATGCACTATTCAGCTATAGTCCAATTTTCTATCATTAGCTCCAAAATTTTAATGTAAGCTATCATTTTTTTCTTACAGCTAAAGGAGCACAGATCTCTTTATGAAAATTATGTTCCAATGAAGTACAAGCACTATTACAAGAAAATGGCAAAGTATGCCCTTTTTGTTTACAATGATTGCCTTATGTTTTCAGTGATCTTTTTTATTCAATTTCTTTTGCAAAGCTCTAGTACTTATTTGCCATCTAATTTTTGCATATGCAGAAATGGGGAATGGGGAGACCATATAACTCTTCAGGCAGCAGCTGATAAGGTATGCATTTTGGCTATGCATCTTATATTTTCTTGTTTATGGGGTTGCAAAATTGCTTTAATCTTATTTTCTTGTTTATGGGCATGTTTATGCTGGACAAATTAAGATGTTATCTTCTATGAAACAAAATGATATGAAAGGTGGGAAATAAACATGTCTAATGGCCGTAATGCAGATCTAGGCCAACTAAAACCTATATAATATACTCTTGAATGAATGACACAGTTTAATGAGTTGCCTTTGTCAGATCAGCTCTTTGTGACAATGTACACATGCACTGAGTGGCTGAGTGGCTGAGTGTATAAGAGTCTTGAATCCTTTATTACAGGCAGGAAATGAAGGCCTGTGCATAGGACATAGGTAAAGTGAGGGGCCTTTTTATATTTATAATTTAATCACAAAAAGTCATGATACAGACTACCAGAGTCATGCAATCACTATGGAATGTTTCTTGAAAAAAATGCAATTCAATCAGCTCTAATATAATACTATTGTCTCTCAGACATGAGAATAATATGACCAGAGCAATCTGCTTTAAAATAGAGAACATACATGCAAAATATTCTCAGCTAGGTATTCAGACTACCAGAGGTTTTATACACTCATTTTTGTGCGGATCTTTAACATGTTTATCTAAGCATTACCCAAAGTGAAGAAGTTGAACTTTAAACTCTGGTATCCTAGCAATATGTTTAAGATTGGCTTTCTTTTGCAATATATTTAGATATAAAGTTAAAAAACTAATGATAAGATCAAGTTATAGGGGAGGGATCCGGTGAGAATAGGTCCATATGTGAGAACCCATACTTATAAGAGAACTAATCTAAAATTTAGAACATATAAGTAAATATTTAGAACATCTACGTGAGTAATAATCTAGAACATCTGCTTTTAGATTTAGAATGTGTGAGTAAAGATTTAAAAATCTCGATTTAAAATTTAGATCATATGAATAAAATTTAGAAGATGTGATTAAAAGTTTGGAACATGCGAGTAATAATTTAGAACATATGATTAAATCTTAGAATACATAATTTAAAATTTAGAACATATAAGTTAAAATCTATAACAAGTAATTTAAGATTTAGAACATGTGAGTAGTAATTTAGGACATTATATTTAACTCATTTAATATTTAGAGCATGTGAGCTAAAATATAGAACACCTGATTTACTATTTATATGAAAGCGTTCTCACATAAAATACGGGTTCTCATGAGAGTCTTCCCCTAATATATATGTTACCTTCGTTTTTATTTAGTTGACAGTTGACACCATTCTATTATCACGCTTGCCAACACACTATTTTAATGATTAATATCTCTAATTCTCGACATTGTAAAATTATAAAAAGTGGATATTAATAAAATATACATTGAAACGGTTCAAACAAGATCTCACTTGACTATGTTTTATCATAGTTATAAATCACAAAAGCTAGTTAAAGTGTAGTTTATGAATATTGTAAAAGTCAAACGGTGTCAATTAAAAAAACGGAGGAAGTACATATTTTTTAATCTCAACCCAATTTTAAGTGTATTAAATCATATGAGGCCCACTTTTCTTTAATACCGTGAAAAAGTGTGTGTTGCAAGTATTAAAAGCGGAGGAACTATATATTTTGGTTCTTCTAGAAATAATTCACTCATGTAAAGGATGAGAAATTAATCTAGAATATTTTATTAATGAAAGATGCTCTACAATTAAGCTTTACTCTGAACCAGTTAGTGATTCCAGATGCTACTTAGAAATGTTATATTTCACCATCCCTTTACTGCTGTTTCCTTCTTGGAACAATTCAATTCTTAACTTATTGGCCCATTTTTCTTTCTGAAGGCTCTTCACCATCTATTCTAGAAAGTATTTGAATTTGCTCCATCTGTAATAATATTCCTATCTGTAGTATTTCATTACTATTGAAGTTCCTTACAGCTTTCAGCCTTTCATCTCCTTAGAAACTAATTTCCTCAGAGTTTCATAGACTTTAAAACCCTGTAATTGCTATAGTTAATGTACGTAACTAACTGCTTTATCCTAAGAATGATATGAGCATTAGGGTGGAAAAGACCATAAGAGGTTTTCCATATGTTATCATTCCCTAATTGTCTCTATTAATTTGTGCTTCATGGATTATATTTTGTCAGCAAAAGTATATGTATGAAAAAATTACTTCCTCCATTTCATTTATGGCCTACATTTTTTCCCATTATACCCTAAATGCCCCACCTAATGGGTCACACTTACCCCCACAGGCCCCACTAGGCCACTAACTCCACCCACCTTTTTTTTCTTAATCTTTATTTACCTCCTAATGCCTCATCCTATGAACCCCACTTACCCCATTAACATCAATTATTATCATTTATAAATAAGATGTGACGTTTTTGTTCCTACAGTTTAAGAATTTATATTTTAGAAAATAACATTGCCGTTCAATATGCACATAGAGGAAGAATAAATTATCTAATTTTCTTCGATTGAAAAGCATATGACTTTAATGCACGCTTGTTATAAGTCGTAGGGCAATTTTGTCACTTTTGCAGATACTTACATAACAGAATATTTTATCCAATGAACCAAGAATTTTATTTTGAATATATGTGGAAGGATGAAGTGAAATGAAAGAACAGTGGAGCTACCCAAAACTTCAAATGCAGAGCCTTTTATCATATTAGTATTTTGATAGCAGCCTACTATACTGTGTACTTTTGGTTGATAGTCCATCATGTAATTTGTTTTTCATGTGCATTTTGGTGGTTTCATTATGTGTAGTTTGCTGTGAAGATATGCCTCTTGACTTCCTTCAGAGACACATGCTTTATTGAAATTGTTCCCCAGTACCAGGCACCTAAACGAGGTATCCATGATATCTTTATTCAATCTGTTGATATTCATATGTTATTTGCTATAATGACAACTACAAGAAAGAGATTGAAGGAAGTCATTCGCATGCTTATGTTCATATTTTAAAATTGATGGTTTGCACTTCGTATGATTCAGCATCAAAGGTTTCACTAAAGATGCTTAAAAAGTTTAAAATTAAAGTTAGCTCTCAACATAAAGGAATTGTTGAAAAATTAAAGGAATTTGTTTTGGTAAATTTGAGGTATTATCTTCTCCATGGTGTAACCCTGTACATTTATTTTTGGGAAGGCTGAATTTTTTTAAAATTTTCTTAAGATTTATTTAAAGTAGAAAAATTTTGTAATATAGTTTCATTATTTAAGTACTGATTGATGTGAGCTGTGAATGTAAAATGACTAAATGCACTAATATTTAAATATTCGGAAATTCTCATTGGTAACATTATGTTTTTTCTTATATTTGGTAAACTTGATAAAAAAGAAATCATCACGACCGACCCTTTGGCTTTAGAAATATACTTCGTAAAATTGTTTAAAAATTGTGTTTAGTATATTTATAAAAAATGAAAATCAATTCAAAAAGCTCTTTCCCTCCTTTCCCTCTCTCTACACCATGCCAAAACGCTCCACTCCAGAGCACCTTTCCCCACAACTATCCTCCTGACTTTGCAGGTCCTCCCCACTGCCAAACCACCAACCCTATGCCTTACGGCTCACCCACACCCAACCTATTGAGGTTGAAATTCTCATCATCATCAAATCATGATATGGGGCCATTATCTCTTTTTTCTCCTTGCATACCCCTTATTATTATTTTAAAACAACTTTGAGTCGTTAAAAGTGCATCTTGAATCTTGATACATGAAGATAGTATATGTAAATATATAAATAATATTATTGTATAATATGTTGTTGGAATAGTTATAATGTATATTTTCATAATATCAGTTTTTAAAATAATAGACATTCAAAGGTACTAATGGTAAAACACATGTCTCGACATGCATGAACAGTGTTAATGTCACTTGAAATAAAAATAAATAAATAAAAATCAGAGGGTATATAAATTTTCCCTCGTACTGATTATTAATGATTAGATGAATTAACCGTTCATTTTCCTAACAAATTAACATGTCAAAATCTTATCCTCTGCATAATTTTTTTATTTCATCTTTTTTTTGAATCATAAAACCTAGACTTTCAGTATAGATCAAGTTCCATGTGAGTTGAAATCCTTTGATGATATATAGAATATAAGTACGCCTATAAAGGAACTAAAGTGGCGTTTGGTTGGTGAAGGGGAAAAGGAATGAGATTAAGAAAAGGAAACACGGAGAATGGAAAGTTAATCCTTTATTTTTGCATAGCTGATTTTTTTACATCAAGAAAGGGAATCACTCTTACAACCACCACCACTTCAAACTCCTTCACCCTACCTCCACTACTACAAGCCACCGCCCTCTTCACCATTTGCTACCGTTGCCCTCTCCTTTAATTGTCGCCCTTCTCCTCCGAACGTTGCCTTTCGCCGCAATCCCCTCTCTCTCTTTTTTATTTTTTTTTTATTTGTTTTATTTTTTTAAGAAAGCTTTTCTTAGATCTAGTTGTTTGGGTTTTTTTAGGGCGTTAAGGTTTTTTTTTTTTTTTTTTTTTTTTTTTTTTGGTGTTTGGGGATTGTTTATAACCAGGGTGTTTATGGAGATGGTTAGGTTTTTTTTGGTGGTTTTCGTGATGAGTATCTTTGTTTTGGAGGGTGATGTGTGGTGTACGTGGTGGGTGTGGGGTTGGGTGGTTTTGGGGAGGGTGCGCTTTCGAGTGGATTTGGGTTGTTTCGGATGGGAGTGGGTGGTTTTGAATATGGGTGGGGATTTTTCAGGGTTGGTGTAGAGTGTTTTGGATAGGCGATGATGATGGCTAGGTTGATGGGTAGTGGTTTCAGCAGCTAAGAGGTGGTTCTAGTGGCAGCTAGTCAATGGTTTAGTTGGGTGGTGTTTTCAAAGTTGGTCAAGGGTAATTATAAAGGTGGTCAAGGTAGTTGGATGAAGATGAGTTTGTGGTGAGTGATTCCCTTGGAGGGGTGAGGAATGAAAATAGAGGAAAGTGGGGGGAATGAGAGGGGTAAAGGGAATGATTAAATTACTCTAACAAACATCATAAAGGGGATTCAACTTCCCCTTTCTTGAATACCCCATATAAACGCCCCTTAATAAAGTAGTTGTGGTGAAAAAAAAAATTATGTATTTTTAGTGCAAGTATTATTGAATATAAAAATCAATTTGAATTGTGGTGGTAGAACGGTACCACCAACATGGTGGCGGAAATTTGCACTACCCACCTTGAAATCGAACTGATTCATAACTCCTCAAATTGATTCTATTACAATATTACTACATACGTCACTTTCCTTGAATTGGCTTGATTCAATTGCTGAAAAGATATCAATCCATAATTGTTTGGCCTAATTAATTAGAATCAGGAGTTCTTCTAATTCAGGTTGGTGGGGGGTGGACGTGGTGGCTGGTGTTAGGGAGCAGTTGCTGGGAAGGGAAAGGGGTAGGGAAATGGTTTTGATTTATATAAACAAAGAATATTTCTTTTTCTTCAAAAAAAATAAAATAATGAGAATTTAGCATATTTTTAGCTTTATTTACACAATTAGGTCATGGAAAATTTTAAACAAGAGAAACACAAAATCGAAAATTTCTGGCCATGGGGTGTTGGACCTCGAATCTATGTTTTTTTTTTTTTTCAACGAAATAGCTATTATGGTTAAACTTAGAAAAACAAAATTACAAATTGTCATATTTTCTTTAGTCATTTGTATATGCTGTAGTCACAGCTCATAACAAGTTTATTTCTTCCTAATACATATCTCCAATATGTTAGATATTCCAACATATAAACCAAGCTTGGCTTGGTCTAGCGGACTAGTGCTAAAACATGTACGAGTTCTTAGGTCATGAGATAAACTCTCAATAAGGGCACTTTTAGGATTACCTTGCTGTTGCTCCTCCTGCAACTAAGCTAGGTGATTCGGCTCCAATTGGCTGCACAAAGAATATCATACTTTTTTTTAATGTACCATTTTTGAAGAATTATTATTATATATCTTCAATGCGTTATATTTTTTTGACATCCGAATTTGCTTCTTTGAAACTATCATTATCATGTTTAAGGTTTCATATTTGAGATATTGATATTTACTGATAATTGTCTTTTTTATGATACAGATGCTTGGTTGAGTTTTTGGTCAGAGGTTCATTATAATTCACTATATGAACTTAGAGGTTTGTTCTTTGTGAAACTGGTGTATATTTACATAAACTTTATTATTGTTACAAGTATGCATTTAATCAAGTCTAGGTTTGCCTTTCTTGCAGCCGCTCCTGTACCACCCAAGCCAAGGAAGAAGCATTGGTTGTTTTAGATCCCTGGATATGATCGAAGTCTATTGATCATAATTAACTCTTTTGTACATTGTTTATACTTCATGTACACTAATATAATAAAATATATTTGAGTTATTCAGCATTAGGATTATCTTATTCTTTCATTTGTTGTCTTAAACAACCCTATTTTTGATCGATTGGGATATGCAAGACTGTGAAATTGCATTGACAGATGTTTATATAACTTATTGAGTCTTTATTACTCTTTTCTGTAAATAAGTTGAAAGGTTTGAATAATTTTTTTTGGCATTTTAGTTTTGAATATGTATGTGGTTCACTCTAAGGGGGTGTTTGGTATGGGTTTTTGGTAGAGTTGGAAACGGAATCAATTATCGTTTCCCTTACAATGTGTTTGTTTAATGGCTAAAGAAACAAAAATCGTTTCTTGCCTCTAACCGTTTCCATTATTTTGTTTCCAGAGTAAGGTAAGAGGAAACAAATAACATTTCCTGACTTTGACACAGGAAAACAAAGTTTTCTCTCTCATCTCTCCTCTCGTTCAACCCTTCTCGTGAGAATTCCCAGCCTCGTTCAACAATTTTTCTGAAAATTCTCCTAAGAAAACTGCAATTCTCTTGATTTTGCAGCAAAATTTTCAATTTTCTACCTAAAATTTACAGAATTCTATAATCTCAAGTACGGTAAATTCTTTGCTTTCGCTTGTTCAATTTCTAGGGTTTATACGATATCAATTTCGCTTTCTGTGGTGAATTACTTACTCGTTTTTTTATCAGATCGGATGAGTTTTGTTTTCGTGGTTCATTTTGAGATGGTTATTGATTTGTTTCTGTGTTTTTTTGTATTGATTGATTATAGGCGCATTTGATAGTAGTTTTTGAAGTAGTTTTTAGGGTTTTGATCGACATATGTTTAATCAAAGTAACATATAATCCGATTTTTAGCATTCAACAAGGTAGTCGTGGAGTGTTAATGAGCTATAACTCTATAAGGCAATATCTTGCAAAAGTTAAAGAGTTTAGAAGTATCAAAATAGCTCATGGAATACAAAGTAGTTGATAGTAGTTTTTGAAGTAGTTTTTGTATTGATTGATTGTTCGTTAATGTTGTTGGATTGATTTTGATAGCTTTTTGGTTGATTTGTTTGTTGATGTGAGTTATTGAGATTTGAATTTTGTTTGGAAGAATTTTGATTTCGGGAAATGTGATTTGGTGATTGAATTTGTTTTTGGTGGATTGGAGTCAGGGCACTTGATGGTATTGATGTAGTATTTGATGGTATTGATGTAGTAGTTGATTTTTCAGCTTTTGAACTTGAATGGAAGCTGAATTTTGCTACTGCTTGTGTTATCATCATATGGGTTTTTTTTTGTTATAGAAATTATTTGCTAGTTAATGATGTTTGTGAAAGTGTATATTGATACTATTGTACATTTTTTGGACTGATTTTTCAAGGTTTCTACAATGCCTCGACTTATGCGTTCCATAAGGAAGAAAAAACTTAAACAAATACAACTAGTTATTTCAATGGTTATTATTATTTTGATGATGTATTGGATGTGGCATATGATGTGTGTTGTTACAATAAGGGGTGTTCAATTAAAAGAAAGGAAAAGAAACAAAAAATTCTACGAATGTTAGTTTTGAGTGGGCTTTATAGAGAGAGTGATGTGAAATGCAAGAGTGAGCTTCGCGTTAATAGAAGAACTTTCAATATTATTTGTGAGATGCTTAGAGACAATGGGGGTTTAAGTGGAACAAAAAACATGTCGCTTCAAGAGATCGTAGCCATGTTTTTATACACGTTGGCTCACCATAAGAAGAATAGGTCTATTGGACAATATTTTTTTAGAAGTGGAGAAACCGTGAGCCGACAATTTCACCTTTGTTTAAGGGCTTTTCTCAAGTTGCATGAAGTAATATTTTACAATCCCACACCAATATCGGATGATTGTGAAGATGAAAGGTGGAAATCTTTCAAGGTATTGGTTTTTTCTAAGCCCCTAAATTTTGCTAGGATTTTTTTTCTTATTTTTGCTTGTTTGTAAGTAATATTTTTCCTATTTTTGTAGAATTGTTTAGGGGCATTAGATGGGACTTACATTAATGTAAATGTGCCTTCACAAGAACGACCAAAGTATAGAACAAGAAAAGGAACAATTGCTATGAATGTATTGGGTGTTTGTGCACCCAATAAGCAATTTATTTATGTTCTTCCTGGTTGGGAGGGTTCGGCCCATGATATGCGTGTACTTCGCAATGCTCTCTCTAGACCAAATGGTTTTAGGATACCTTGAGGTAAGTGAAGCTCATTCTTTTGTGAGTGTATAAGTTTTGTTAGTTTTGGTAGGTAGTAATCCTTTTCTTTAATAACTTTGAAGGTAATTATTATTTGGTTGATGCGGGATATACGAATTGTGAGGGCTTTCTTGCTCCATATAGAGGTCAAAGATACCATTTAAAAGAATAGACGGATCGACAACCGAAAGTGCCGAGGAGTTCTATAACATGAAACATGCTAGGGCGCGAAATGTGATTGAGAGATGTTTTGGCCTACTTAAAGGAAGATGGAGTATTCTTAGAAGTCCTTCATTTTTTCCTATTAGAACGCATGGACGTATCGTGATGGCTTGTTGCTTATTGCATAATCTAATTAGAAAATTCATGCCTACGGATGATATAAACGAAGATGAATTGAATGAATCTGATGATGATTCTGAAAGTGATTCCGATGATGAAAGGGAATTTATTACAAGTGTTGCTACTTCGGATTATTGGACCAATTTAGAAACAAATTAGCCCAATATATGTTTAATGATTGGAGGGAGAGAGGTAGACATGGTCAATAGCAAAAAATGTATGATTTTTTTTCCCTTCGATTACATTATATATATATATATATATATATATATATATATATATATATATATATATATATAGGTGTATTTTCTGTTTTTGTTCATTTTGAAGCCACTGCCACTTTGAATCTACCTTCTGCTCTGTTTATTTCTAATCTACCTTATGTTATGTTCATTTCTAATCTACCTTCTAATCTACAATTTGTTTAGGATGGAGACTAGCAATCGAGGAAGAGGTAAAAATAAAAGGTATTGGACGTATGAAGAAGATGCGGTTCTAATAAGATATTTGCATGAGTTGAGTTGCGATCCGAAGTGGAAGTGTGAGAATGGGTTTAAGAATGGTTACATGAATAAGTTGGAAGAGATGATCAATGGTGTATTTCCTAATTGTGGCTTGAGAGCGGTTCCTCACATTGAGTCGAGGATCAAGCATTGGTCGGAGAGATATAGTGCATTTGCAGAAATGCTATCCACCTCAGGATTTGGATGGGATGCTGAAAAGAAATTGTTGCAAGTAGACAAGGCCGTGTACGATGAATGGGTGAAGGTATGAGCTGCTATTTCATTCCTCTATGTTTGTTTTTTTCTTCTTCTGAAATTGTTGTTAACTCACTGCCACTGCTTCTACATTAATCTGGTTGTCAATTAAGTTTCTGATTCTGTCATAATATGCTGCTTGATTTAGGTGTTTCATGCCATGTAAATGATCTAGAATAGTTTATGTCTAGAACAGGTGACAAGGGGAGAGGGGTAGGTGTTCAGCTAGGGTGGTGGTGCTTCTGCTGTGTTCAGTTTGTTGATGATATATGCTGAATAAAATAAGTTTTGCAGTGTTAAAACAAAGGATGTGTTTTGTGCTGCTAATGTAATGTTTATATCTGTGTAGTGTAGCTGTTGGTTAAACCATATTTTTTACCTCACTAATATACAGATGACTTGAACAAGTCAGAGGAAGACTCTAAACTCAACAGCCATCTGACACCTTAGTGAAATAGTTTCGAGCTGAATGCTATCTTAGTTTATAACTAGGGTGTCTAAGTTGATGTACTGATGGATTTTACTACATAAATTTTAGCCATACATGTACAATTTTTATACTTCGTATATATATTTTTATTGTTTGATTTCTATTTTATAATTGGAGTATGCAAGCAAGCAGCAATTGACTATGTTGTAATGTTTTATATATCAATGCAGGTTGGACTTTTTTTTATTTCCTTCTAATTTTTTGCTATAATGGACTTTTTTTGTTATCTACCAATAATTTTTAATGGCAAAGTAGATTAAGGTATTGTGGCAGCAAAAACAGTATAAAAGGGAACACATAATAAAGTACTATTAGGTAGAAAAAAAAACAATGAAAGAAAAGGCTACATTGCTATGCTGGAGTTGTTTGACATCAAATTTGACTATTTTGCATGCACTAATATAGCAAACAAAGCTACAAGCATAAAAGTAAACTCTGAAATGCATGAAAATTGTATGCCAGAAAGTATAGAAATCAATTTGATATCAGAGAATTTGATATCAGCATATTGTACAGATTATTAGTATGTTGCCTAATTATTAGCTGTTTTTACAAGTTTATCAGTTGCTTAGTTCAGTTCTCAATTTCATGTTTTGAGTTGTTACATTCTCTTATATGGCAAACTCATAAGAAAGCTAAGGGGTTGTTTGGAGTTCCATTCGTTCATTATGAAACTCTAGCAGAAATATATGCAAAAGACAAAGCTACCGGAGATGTAAGTGAGTCATTCGTTGATGCCATAGAAGGTATTGATCAAGAGATTGATAAGCAACCATTGATTTTCGAGAGTGATGAAGAAGATGATGTGAATTCTACTAATTCGGACACTTATTCTTCTACAAGTCAATCCGGAAAACGCCCCGTGAAGATAGAGGATGATCATATAACTCCTTCAAAAATGGAAAAAGTGAAGGCTTCTACAATTCATTCTTCTGCAAGTGATTCTACTACTCAATTTGGAAAACTCTCTATAAAGGCGAAGGAGGTTAAGGTGAAAAGAAAGAACAAGGTAAATTTGAAGAGTTTGTGTAGGAATGATGATGATGATTTGGTGGTCTCCCTCCATGATGTTTCCAACAATTTTGGGAAGATATTTGAAAATATCAATGTTAATCTTGGGACAATGGCTAATGAATGGTCTAAAGCGGAAGAAAGGGAGCAAAGGATGGATGAAAAGGTGAACAAGGTATTGGACGAGGTGATGAAGTTAGATGGCATTTCTCCATCCGAAGCTTTAGAGGTTGCTACTATTCTCATGGAAGAAGAACATAAGCTTCATATCTTCTATCAAGCACCATTTAACATGAAAAAACAATATGCAATTAATCTTCTTAAGAAGTAGCATTTGGTTGCTACCATGTCTTTGTTTTTTTGTTGAACATTTGCAACTTGAGCAATACAAGTTATGTGTTCATATGATGATGGATAAATTATTAGTCAATGTTTGGATAATTAATGAGTGCCAACTTTGCTTTTATATATATATATATATATATATATATATATATATATATATATATATATATATATATATATTTTTTTTTTTTTTTAACCGTAAAATATGTAGCATAGACTATATTTTTTATTTTTTTTTTATTTTTTTTTACCCGTAAAATATGAGCATAGACAATTTTGTATTATTCATTCTTATTTTTCGTATCCGTTTGTTATACCAAACAAGAGGAAACAGAATGGTGATAATTCTTTCTGTTTCCTTTAATGTACCAAACAACTAGTAAGGGTAACACTATTTGTTACCCTTTCCCCTCCTAATCTATTTCCATTCCGTTTCCTATACTAACTCCATACCAAACACCCCCTAAACATGTGAATATGTGTAGAGAAGCACAATCTTTGCAGTTGGCAGGAACCAATTTCGTAATTAAAAATTTAAAATTAGCTTAAGGTAAAGAGCTCACCCCAGTTAATCTATTTGATTGATATATTTTGTCAATCTAATTCGCCAAGTCAGCAAATGCCATATGTAGATAATGACTCAGCAGCTGGGAGACTTAGGTAGGATAGTGATATCATCAACGGCGCAAAGAAACTAACGTTAACGCTGTGAAGAGGTCTGTTACTTGAAAGGGAAGCTAAGAAGACTTAAATGCAAGGTAGGTGGTAGTTTAGGTAGTCAATAGACTGATTTTGTTCTTCAGTTCTTGTGTAGCAAGTTTGAAGGCAGATCTGCATATGATTTCAAAAAATTGAACAATGGAAAAAAATATTAGCTTGGATGGTTGCAATTAGGCAGTAGATTGGAGAGCACCCAAAACGCATTTGTTCAGATCGTTAGTGAATGCTTCTTCTATTGGCAGGTTAGTCAATTGTAAGAGGTATCATAGTAAATCTCAGCAAATTTTTAGTGATCATATTATATATGGGGTGTATTGGTATCTATTAACAGTAGTCTCTTTGGTGATAGATCTTTCATATGATGACATTATCCAAGTGATAAATTTAAAATGTATACAATGTGTTGTGTTATGGTAAGATTCATGGTAGATTTAATAAACTTGGTATCTCAAATGTTGGTGCTGGGAACTTCAAATGATTTGGAAAAAAAAATATACATTAATGAAATTTAGGACGATTGATATTTGATATGGCTAATATGATTTAAGTATTAGGTTCAATCTGTCCATAGAACATGGGAGTTGCTGTTGCAATCGATCTATTTCTGTAGCATATTGGAATTATAATGTATTTGATGTAAATATCGAAATAAAACAATGTTAAACTGTAGGGTATATTGGCAATTATTGAACGGTAGGCAAAGTCATTAAAAATAATGGATGGAATTTAAAAAAAAACTTATTGAAGGAGTACTTCTAGATTGAAGTCATGTTGATAATGTAGTAGTTGTACAATGCATATTTAAGGAGTGGAAAATACTTCGCACGCTTATCACCTACATATTAGAAGGTGGATATACATAATGTTCTAAAATTTGATGGATATAATTTGTGTGTATGTTTATGGGAGTAAGATTTAAAAGGCCAAAATAGGCGATTGATTTAGCAAGTATATGATTTATATATTTCAGCAAGCAAAATATCAGTAATAATGTAGCTATAGTAGCTAATTAAGATAGTAAGAAGGACTAATAGCGTGAAATACTTACAATTTTACAAATGATATGCAGGGGTAACTTCTGGTTGTGTAGCATTGTGAATCGAAATGGTTGTTATTTTGGATGATGGTAGTGAAGCTTTAAATGTATATGTGTAGGTAATTTTTCAAACTCAACTTTGAGCCCCACTGTGATCATGTTTTTAAGCATGGTGGCGTCCCAAGGTAAAGAAACTAGAGATAGAAGAGTTGCCAACAAGTTTTAAGAACTTGTAAACCGTTCGCAGGTGTGAATGTTACACCCCATTCACAATCACGGAGATTGCTAACTCTATAGTGGTCCGGAACCATGACTGGATGTTCGGGGATGAAGGTATGAATCCAACCTAAAAGATATTGAAGCCGCCCTAAATCGGCCTCTAATTAACTCTTATGATATTCATGTGCGCTTTTCGATCAACATACATTCATCAAATTAATCCTAAGCATATTTAATCTACGTTGGTTGATTATTAAAGCACAATCAAATCTATTATTGTGGTCACTTGAATTAAAATCATATTAAGCCTAAATCAAATTATTAATTATCTTATTAGGCATGATTTCAAGTAAAAATTCTCTTTAACCTGCAAAAAGGGGCGTAATCAAGCAATAACAATCGATCATGAATAATCAATCAATGTATAATTGACACAACAATCATCACCATAATAACTATATCAAAACATGATTAGCAAGATCCTAGGCATGATACTAAACGGATTAATAACAAATTCTAGCATGTCACCAAAAATAAAAATCAAAGCTTTATCCTAAACATGATACTATCAATCGAAATCAACATCCTATCATGATGCTAGAAATTATAAAGACATCCTAACATGATACCAGGAATAAAAATAATATTCTAAGCATGATTTCTACTCCAAAATCAAAGAGTAGGATAGTAGATTTGTTCACCTTGATGTCTCGGCTTTCTTGCTATTAAAACAATACACACGTTAGTAAACTTCAAGAAAGATTAAATCAAGAAAATAAATAAATCAAATAATAATTGAAATGTAGATTTGGGACCAAACCTTCAGAACTATCAACCTTTCACGTCGAGATTGGCTAGGAGTATTCAAGTCTTGTGAATGAGGTATTGTGAATGTTTGGGGGAGAGTATCAAAGATGCGTTTTGGATGTGTTTATGGCTAGGTTTAGAACATGAAAAATCAAGAGAGAGAGAGAGAGAGAGAGAATATTAGAGAGGGTATTTATGATGATTGTTGGTGATTGAAAATTGGGTGAAGCGACCTCTATTTATAAGGAAAAAAGTGGGTTGAAGGATCAGAAAAGAGTCAGGATCCGAATAATAAAACAGGTTTCATCGCGGCCCGATGGTTCTGTCGTTCTGCGATGATTTTCTAGAGATAAGAATTGGTACGAAGTCCGATTTCCGATCAGATTGGGTTAATCAAATTTCCGTACGTATTTTATTTTGACCGGGATTAGGATTATAAAAAAAATGTTTATTCAAAATCAAATTCTTAAACCTTTGTCTTTTTGGGAAAGGATAAATTAAAACCTTCTAGAGGATTCCATAAGCTCCTAATAAATCCTAATGGATTTAGGATTTAAAACAACCTTCTAGATGATTCTTGAAGCTCGTAATAAATCCTAATTGGTTTTGGAATGGAATTAAGGTATTTGGACCCTCCACACGGTCATTGGGCCGCAGGTAAGGCTTGGTTCGGACTCGGTTTAGTATTTTGCCCATAACTTGTTTGTTATATGTCGGATTTGAGCTTATAATATATCGTTGGAAAGCTCTTTTCAACCTAATCCCTAAGCGATAATTGGACCAGCATTATGGACCAAAATAAACTTGTTTGGACATTTTCATGGATTGGATACGAAATGAATGATTTTGAGAGACACGAAATGAATGATTTTGGGTTTAAAAATACGAAATAAATGATTTTAGTTTAAAACAATTTAGGAAAGGTTAGAAATATAGTCAAGATTTAAGGGAATTTCACGAGACTCTTCAACTCTTCACCTAACTCGTTAATCAAAATGTGAAAGGTACTCATCATTGGGTTTGGTTTTTGGGGAGACACAATCAGGTGTCTACAGAAGCCCCCACTTTGACTGAGTTTGGGGAAACTTAAGTTTCAAAAACAAAAGTCAAAGTAGATCGGAAGGGATGGAGAATGATTCAAATTGTTCTGCGATCCTTAATCATCCTTTTCAAAAGCCGATACCCTGTAGAAAGCGTCAGTTCTACAAATAAAGGAGTTAAGGGAAAGAAACGTGTATCTTGCACCATCGGGTACACGCCTCAGGGTGACATCTTGTCGAATCAAATTTGTTTTGTTTAACAACCTCTTCATTCTCAGGGAGCTCCATCAAAGACCGCTACGCTTCGAGCCATCTTCTCAAATTAGGTGACAACCTCCTCATTCTTAGGAAGCGTCGTCGAAGACCACTTTGCTTCGAGCCATCTTCAAAATCTTCTCGTCTTCACGCCTTGGAAGTGATAGATTCTCACGCTTCGGAAAATCTACCGTAAAACCTTACTCTTCAAGATCCTACCGAGCTTCAAATTGATTTTAGTAGAAATCCTCCATCTAAGGAATTTGTGACCATAATCAATCACTTCTCAATCAACATGCTCAACCAATACTCGAATGTACTTAATTTATAGGTAATCAATAATGTGATCGTCATCAAGCTGATCATCAATCAAATGTGACCGTAGTCTGGCCGACTACTAATCATTTATTCATCAATCTCTCATCACGAGGCTCAAAAGAATCAATTACTCATCAAGAGGCTCGAGTAGATAATCATGGACGAACAATTCAACTTGTGGGACCCTCAAAACGGTAACGCAGGCAAAGTCAGGTCCATCGCGCGACGACAGAAGTATCTCACCACGATGGATTCATCGCTCCACGATGACTCTGTCGCATCGCGTTTTTCTGGTTATAAAACCTTTCCTCTTCCTCTTTTCGTTGTTGCTTCATTGTTCGTTGTTTCAACACGGAACTTCAAATCGTTCAATCTCCTTCGTTTTTCAACCAAATTAACTCAAATTTGCATCAAATCTTTGCATTTTTCACTCACCTACACCGATCTATGTAACCTCAATCTTTTCTTAATTTGGATGAATTTCGAGCATGTTTTTCACGAAATTTTCAAAAATTTGAAATGGGTCTCCTTTATTTTCTCAATTTTCGTTGAAATTCTTGTCATGAATTTGCTTGTATATGTTTGTATGTT